TGCAACTTGTTTAAGCAGTGAGCTCTCCATGGAGGAAACATTTTATGTAATGGATATTGAGGATGTTATGATTTTTAGACCCCTTTTTTGCACTTTCTTAAACAGCATCCAAAGGGGCTTCACCATATTCAAGACCTGACCAAGGCGGTATAAACAGTAACCAGGTCCTCAGTAGGTAAATCGGGGTCAGCAATCTACAGCATGCCTGCCATTATTGGCATGTAAAAGGATTTGTAACAGAAGTCTAATAAGCCAAAAAGAATTGACATTAACAACAATCTTTAAAAGTTTTGCTTGACTGTTCAGTAATTATTTTCAACATGTTACCCATTGAAAGCTCTTTGGTGTAGAAAAAATGATTCACTTGGTTTATTTACTGCATTATTTTAGCAGGGCTAGCCTATTGTTTACACAGGAAAGCTCATAATTTGTGCCGCTGATAATATTTTTCACACTTGTGAAAAAGTGAAAAATGGTGGTTGCAAAGAAAACAAAGTTCATTCATTTCAGCTCTTTTGAAGAGATGAATATGGATTTGTGAAATGGCTGAAAATGCTAACAAAGAACAGACACTGGCATTAAAAGATGTAAAAGCATTTATTGTTTGTGCTTGATGAGTGTACTGTATGGATATAAACGATGTACCGCGATTAGCAATTCTTACAAGATCTTGTGACTCAGATGGAGTGCTGCCTAAAATCCATGCATAGCACAACTGGAAATATAGCTAAGACATTTGTTCATCTTTTTCAGGAGAGAGGAATTTATCACCAAGAAAATAATTTCTTTGACAACTGATGGTGCTCTTGCTTTGGTAAGAGAACAGAAGGGATTCATAAAGATCATTGTGGCTTGCATTGGCCAAACCAAGATACATTTTCATTGTATTATTCATCAGGAAAATGTTGGTGCCAAGATTTCACATTTTGAGCTTCATAATGTGATGACTACAGTGGTGAAAATTAATTTTCTTGTTGCTTGATCTATTTTGACACACAGTATATACTGTACATGGGCATTTCACTTCACGGCAGTGATTGTTGGCTGAACTGTGGGAAGTATTTGGCGTGCTTTATGGACTATCTTGATGCGATCAAACTCTTTTTGTCAGAAAAAGGTCAAAACTATCTCGAACTGCACAATGAAAAACAGACTGCAAAACTAATGTTTCTAGCCGACAGCACCACAGATATGAATGAACTCAACCTCCCTTTGCAGGGTGCAGATGAAACTGTATTTTCATAACGTGGAACATTTATTGCAAAACTTTTCATTTTTCCGCTGGACATTGACACCTTAGCTTTCCACTATCAAAAATCTTAAAGAACTTTCAAAACATTGCATAATCCATGTTGCTGAGTTTGGAGTGTACAGAACTGGCATCATAATTTTCTGTCAAATTTCCAGATTTCCAATGTTTTGCCCTGATCATTTCTTTTTGATTAAGCCAGACAGCTCTGATACCAGTGGCGTGGATTTTTCAGTGTTTCAGTGGAGAGGTATGAGATTTTGAAATGCAGCTAATTGAATTGCAATGTTCAAACTTATGAATTCGTGAAACACACTTGAGGCTACTGAAAGCAATCACAACGTCTCTATCATGATCTGGTGGACGTCCCTAACACTGAAATTTGACTGTTTGAAGAAAGTGGCATTTTCACTGCTCTCAGCATTTGGCTAACAATGAACAGGTATGTTCACACATGGAACCAGTTCTCTGTACCTTCTCTAGCAGGCTAGACGCAGCTACCTACTTCGCAGCAGTTCAAGTAGGTAGCTGCGTCACCTACAGTACATACAGTATGTGACACCAGAAGAAGGCTCCACAGCCAAAATGTTGTTTCGTTTCTTCTCTTTTCAACATGGAATAAACCTTTGCTTGTTCCTTATTTGGCAGTAGTGACAACAGAACCTTCCAGTTCTCCTAAAATAAGAGCAAGTTGTGGTCGGTCCCTGGAAAAAAACAAATCCTGATCCACAGACCTTTTTTCCATTCAGCAGCATGCTATTAGATATGGCGCACTTGTCTAGATGCATAACATCATGTCCATAGACATATTGGTCAATTTCAGTATACATGTGGACCTAACTGCTATCTAGGTTTAGATTTACTCAGTGTCTTAACTTCCCAACATGTAAGTATGGTTAGCTCTTAATTAATTAATCAGCTCTCGTGTTTCAGCATTTGCAACTTACAGGACATTTCTGATCACAAGGCTCTCTTATTGGACCTGACTGCTTCTTCACCTCCTGTTAGTAGTAAATGGTCAATAGCTTTCTGTAGGCTGAAATTCATTAATTGAAATAGTTTGGTGGAGGAGATTAAGAAAAGTAGTTCAGACTTGTTTCACATGAGAATTATGTTGCTCTTTACAAATATACTGTAATACACAGTGTATCTCCTAAAAAAGTACCTCATTTATTTTCTAATGTATAATATTAATAACCAGTTGCTAACCTCACCTCATGTAGCCACAATATGTATGCTGTCTTCTGCATTCATAAATTCAAGGTTCACTTATTTATTACCGTTGATGCACCTTTTATGACTGACAAAATGAGATCTACTGCCTGTGTCTTGGACCATATTCTTATGATTCAAAACTAGATTCTTTTCTCTTTGTCCATTTGTTACTAAGCTCATCAATGCATCCCAATATCTGGCCTTGTTCCTGCAGACCTAAATAAATCTGGTTTAAAACATTAACCTCGAGGGCTTGATGAAGATTTATTTGAGAAACAGAACCCTGTCCCAAACAGCATGTAAGGAGTTATAGAGAAAACTGAAAGATACTTGAGACAAAAAAAAATTATTAGATGAGATTTAAAGGTGAGTGAATCCAGTCCAATCTGCCTTTCATCCTTCCTACGCTGTTCAGCACACAGGATCACCTGCTTCTTGAATGGAAAAATTACTGTGACCTCTTGTTCATTATAGGAAACTAAAAAGGAATATAAATGTTTTTCGATCACAAAAAAAGCTGTAACCAAGCGTGGTCAATTATTGTCACAGATGTCAGAAGGGCATGCCGTGGAATGGCCAGGAATGCAAAAAAGACCCTATGCATAGCGTCAAAAGGGGCAACAGGTTAGCCCGGGCTCAGGGGGTCAGATGATGTCGGTAGAAACCTATGCCCTCAGGCCGCACAGGAGACGACCTGGTGCAAGGCGGGTCTCAAGACATCCAAACCCTCAATGCTGAGCGAGGAGGAAAGGGTGACCCAGAAACATAGCCCCACACAAAGACACACCAGAAGGACAAGAAAAACACGGGAAACTAAGAACAGGGCAGAGACGGAGCGCCCTCTAGATGCAGAAGGCGTGACAATTATAGTATGCGAAAACAGACAAATACTAATCTGAAGTCTGGTGGTAAACAGGTCAAAAACCAGATCGATTTCCAAAGTTTTTTACATGTCTTTGAATATACTGTACTGTAAGCCACAGGCCAATTGTACTACCCGGAAATTTGGGGAAAAGTGTGGCTTATATTTGGGTAAATAAAGTATCTCGATTTCATTCACTGGTTAACATATACAAATCAGAATATTTTTGCAAAAAATGGTCACGGTATATTTGTGGGGGCCTTTTGGTTACTATGAGACACAGAGGTGGGACCAGATTCTCGTTTCAGGAGTCAATATGCCGGAAACACTAATATGTACACATCTAGTTAATTCTCACATAATCCTGCAAAATTAATATCACTAATAGCATACTACCCTAGAGTGTCAGCTGGCTGCTTCAATGTGACTTTGTCTTCTAAAACCATGTCTTCACAACCCTGATGTAATTACAGTACATGAAGTTGTCTTGAAGTGTCTATCTGTCACAACTTAATTCTGCAGCTTGTTAAGTGTTTTGTGACATCAAAGATCTGTGTCTGGAAGTGTCTTAATCAAAATCATAAGTAAGGGGCATAGCCCTCCCTTTTTAGGGTAAACAGAACACCGACTTTATGTTACTACATCTAACATCATCACTGGCATTTCCTTCTATGATAGTTCTGGAACCCTTGACTGTGAGCAAGTCTATATTTGATGCCTTATTTCAACAAATTCTCAAGCCTCTGGAGGTAGAATGGGTGAAGGTGCACAGGCAGAGATTAAAGGATTCCATAGATTTTCTAAGAGCACTAGAAATCTTTAGTTAAGATGAAGGAAGGTTAGTGGTACACTTGATGAAGATTTGATTTGTTGCTTCAGTGCTTGTGGTAGATTTTATTGCAGTGGAGAGCAGCTTCATAGCAACAGATGAGAGTGATTTAGAAACCTAATATGTATGCTTTAAATACAATCCAGTTCTTGTCATGCCAGTTCAGGTCAGTGCCTTATAATGTTAAAGGTCAACAGCATAGAATGTGGTGATGAGCCATTGAAGAATGAAGCATGTGACACAGTACCTTAAGCTTTATGGATTTTTAAGTCTACTTAACATACAAAAACAGAAACAAAAAGTAACCTTTCAGAATTCTTCATTTTATTCTTTTCCTTCCCCTTTTAGGGTAGCTTTTTACATTTTTAAACTAGAACTAGACAGCTTTAGTATAAAAATATTTTAATGATTAACTGTATATTTCGTAAATTATTTTAAATATATTTTGTAAGTATTTAATATACTCCTAACTTGAATTACCTGTATGGGTTTAATTGATTTTATTTTAAAATTGCACATTTTTAAGTATGCCAATGTTTTTGAATTTTCAATATCACCTCAGTAGGAAGCAAATGGAGAACATTTCTTCTTGTTTTAAACTGTGGCTTTTATCTGTTCTTCCTACATCTTAGGTATTAACAAACTACAAGGCTTTCAGCTGTTTTAAAAAATCATGAGTATATACAAAAAGAATCCTTGATAAGTACCACGTTTAAATACAAACTGAATATTGACAATCTATGGAAATTGATCTTCTATATGTAAAAATTAATGATAAAAAATAGAACAGAATAAATGCCTTAGAATAATTATTTAAAGATACCATAAAGGGGAGGTTTGTGTGCTTAATTTAAACAATTGTATTTTTTATTGACACTTTTTATTTTAATGTCAAAACAATTATCCAGTTGTACATCATTAGGTCCATGACAATAGCAGATATCAAACATGAAAAGTGTAACATTATGTCCTATCTTGGTACCAACAATATAAGTCTATTTAAAATGAACTAATGAACTATACATATATTTAGGAAAATGTGCAAAGACATTTTACATTAATAATTACCAGTGATCCAGTTCCATAAATGGTCCTTTAGAAGATGCACAAGCTCTTGCTCATGTTACACTATTGTATTCTTTGGTTTCTGAAAGGCAAGGAGCTTGAACTGATTTTATGCCCCTGTATACAGTAGGTATAAGATCCAAATGAAACAACTGTGAAATGACTCACGGTCTCCTAATAGAATAAATTACAGTGAATTATACACCTCGCCAATCTCATCTGTCAAATACCTTGCAATTAGTGGTGCTGGAAAACATCTGGTATGATGAAAAATGAGTGTTTTTTTTAGGGAGAAGAACATATCTGCTTGATACAAACTGACAGGCCCCAAACATAAAAGGAAAATGAATGAAAATGCAACGCCGAAGAACAGACAAGCACTGTGAAATAAAAATGTTAAAAATCACATTTCTATCGCAAAAGTAATAAAATCTGAAATGTACACAGGACAAGCTACTGTAGGGATAACATATTGAACTCCAAATGTCACAGAGAAATCTAAGGAAATATACAAAATACATTATACTAAATGTGATCTGATTTCTTCTTTATTTGTCTGGTGTTTTCAACTTTAAAATTCTGTCTAAATGTTTACATGTTATTAAAAGAATCAGTTCACAATTCATCTTATGATTTTGTAAGGGTATAGTCTTACATTGCATCGTTTGCTTTGGTGAACATTATATTGTGTTTTATATTAAATGCATGTCTCTCCTGAGTTGTGTGTTCATTGTATTCATTTGTTGTGCAGTTACGTTTGCTTGGGGAGAGGTGTATAATTACGACAAACCTAAACAAGGGCAAACAGGATGAGTGAAAGCCCTTCACTGCCCAGGAACGCCATCAACATCTCCACCAGAGAAACCACTCCTCTAACACCACTGTAGGTTTCGTTCTTTGTGAAACACCTTGCATTCACTTGGAAAATGAACTTGGAAAAATGAACTATCACAATTAGATCATGACTCAGCAAGTACATTATCTGTGCTGTGTTACTTTCTGTCAAAGGATTCGCGTTGTTTCCTCCCCTGACAGCACAGACAATACACAGAAAATATGTAAAGTGCAAAACAGGCAATAAAATCATAATGGTAAGCGGTTACAAGGAAAAGTATAAACAGAGAGCAGTAAAAAAACTCTTTTGAAATATAATGCAAAATAAAGGGTTCTTCGTTCCAGTGTAATAGGTCATTTCTGCCCTCATCTTCTGCTATTTCACTAGCAGGCTGCTCCATACCTGGGTGTCCTTCTGTTTCTCCTGACTGTGTCTGATCTTCTTCCAGATCGTGACCTTGCTCACATTCACTTTCTTCCAGTGGAAACTGCCTTTCTACTAATACTGGCTGAAGCAATCTCTGATCTGCACCTTCCTCAGATCTTCTGCTTGTAAATGTCGAAACTGCACTGCTTCTGTCCCTCTTGGTGCTGATGGTGTGGTGGGTACCCCCTGCCTTTCCCACTGGAGCTCTTAGGAATGCAGTTTCAAAGGGATTCAGAGAGGCACCAGACTGTAAGTTTGATGTCTCCTCTCTTTGCTCACTAGATTCCAACTTATCAACTGTGAAGGAATATTGATGGTCTGCATAGATATCTTCTTCTCCGCTTTCTTCTTTTTCTTCTCGGACTGCTTCTAAAAATGCTCTTTTGTGGATCATAACCATTTTCATAGCCATTTGTTCAGAAAGTACATTTTCAGTTTCAGTTTCTGTTTCTGCGGAGAAATAACTTTCACATTCTTCTGGTGTATTCCCATTTGTTTTATCACAAATGTAAGTGTCTTGTGCCTCATTATGACATATTTCTTTCTCTGCACGTGCTTCTTCTGAGCTTGTTGTTTGGTCAGTAGTTTCAGAGGCAGGATGCTGCATTGCATGTTCTGTTTGTTTAGTGTCACATTCTCTAGTGTTCTCAAATTGTTTTATGCTCAAATGTATGATAGATTCCAATTCAGCTGCCCCAGGCTGTTTATTGTCCTGCCGAGTCTTTGCTTGAAGATCTCTTTGTTTCAATTCTGTGACTTCGGGTTCATCAAAGATTATTTCTTCCTCCTGGGTATGTGCTGAATGCACCCTTCCACAAGGGGAATGCTCTGCTATTGGATCCAAATTGTCATGCTGACAAGACTGGCAAGCAGGGGCTACAAAAGCCTTTACTACAAGATGTTGCTGAGCACCTGCTGTCTCTGTGAAACTGACCTTATGGATCATTTTGTCTTGGCTTTTCCCTTCCTGTATTTTATAATGCGTCAGTTCTTCAACATCTTTGTGACTGGCAGACTGACTTTTCCAGTCCTTGCTGATATGTTCTGTACTGTACAAAGAAGGGTCAACATTCTTAAAGTCTAAAGAATCGTCTTCTCCCAAAGAAACATTTACTGTTTCGCTTCTGTCCAGTGTAACATCCATTTCATCTTGACTAAGAACACTGCCTTGCCGTTGATCCCTCTGATTACCCTCATGAACATCATTTTCAGTGTGTTCCCATACTTTGGATTCCAGTTCATTGACTTCCTGGCTCAGTGTGTTTTTACAAGCAGAGGGAGCTTCATTGTTTAAACTGGCTTGGCTGATCAATGTTTCTGGGGAAGATAAGACCTTTTCATGCAGGCAATCTAAACACAATAATGAATACTGTGGGTCACTCTCATCTGGTTCAGTACTGCAAACCGGTAGATCCTCCTCAACAACGATCAATGTTTGTAGCACTTCACCTTCATTTTCTCCTTCATTTCCATTTTTGATTGTAGCTTCCTTTTCATCTCCTTTCAGTGGTAGCATGCCCTCCTTGTTCAATGCAGTTTGCAAACTCAGCAAAGGAGCTTGATAACTTCCCAGTAGCTGCTGATGTGCACTCTCTTCACTGTTGGTCTGGCCACCATTGCATTCCACCAATAGACTTGAGTCACTTCTCCAAAATAAAGATGTGCCAGTTTCAGGTTCCTGATCTTCTGATTCTATGCTTATCGTTTCCTGTCCAACAGAATCCTGACCCAGCTGTGTTTCAGTTCCCTCTGGAAAGCAGTGGTCTTCTGAGGCTGATGGATTCAGTACCTCTTTTCTACCCTCTTCTATTCTTGTCATGTTGAAGTTGCTATCCATCTATTAATACAAAACAAAATTATTATTATTATTATTAACACAGTCTAAAAGTATAGGAAACCTATATGTTGCATGTATATTTCTAGCTTATTTAAATGAATTTCCCATTATATATAACTAACTTCCAAAGATAAAGCAGAGCAAATAGTATAATCTAGAGTTTAAAGTACAGTAGTCTCACAGTTCCTTTGAAAATTGATAGGAGAAAACTTAAGTAATAGCTCAGTACTATATTACCTTGAATCATTAAAAAAAACCCTTCTAAACCTGAAATCGTGTGTTGGGGACTAGTATTAATGGTAGTTATACTATTTTATCTAACCGATTAAAAAGTACAATATGTCATCAGGTCACACATATGTTCCTTCTGTCCTACCATTGGCATGTTTAACTAAAGCTTCCCAGCCTTATAGACATGGCACTCTTTCAAAAAGGTCATGAGAGTTCACTGAGTACACATCTTGCATTCCTGTTAACAGGCAGAAATCTATTCTAACTCCCTGACTCTGGTAAATTTATTCTAAATTTAATCTGATACATATCCTGCTTTATGGAACTTCTGTGTGTATAGATATCTAACACTATTGCAGTTATATGTTTGTTCAAACCCATCAAAGAGAAAAATAAAAGAATAAGAAAATTAAATAATTACAACTGAATTTCACTAACAGTAACTGCAGCACGTGCAAGAAGCTCCGTAATACGCACAGCTTTGAAAAGCCAGGGGGCCACCTCTGCTGTGACCACTTTGATCTGGAATGTTCTAGGTGGCAGCGGATTTTTATCAACTGCACCAAACTATCAAACAACATGAAGAAAGCCTTAATAACTTTAGAACCTAGAGTCCAACTTGATTACTGAGATTTTATAGATCTTGAAAATGAAACACATATCTGTGATAATAAACACTATCAAAATCAAACAAAATAGAAGTACCCAAAAGGGGTCTGCATACCAAGCAGAAAAAAACAACAGTTTGCTCATGAAAGTAAAGAATAATGCCTATTAATTATCATATGAAGTCAAACGGATTTGAGTGTCTACGGCTCTTTTAGTAGAGAGCCCAATGTGAAGTGAAGTTGAGTTTTCTTTTTTTTCTTCAGCTCAATGCAGAATGCAAACAACTGAAATATTCTGCTGAGTAAATTTTATACCCTGTCTGTTCTGTTTATACAGATAGCACAGGTGGCTGAGAGGTCATAAAGAGAGGTAATTAATTTATTGTTATAATACACATATAAAACTATGAACAACTGTGAACTAGGAAGGCAGTGCTGGTTATAAATGATAGATTGTAGATATATAGATATATTAAATATTACAGATATTCTCATGACTATTTCAATCATATTTCACATATGGCCATAGTGTGGTTGTCTTTGAGTGTTGCCGTACAGTACCATGGTCTCCAGCTCCTTGTCCCCCTCATGCTCTTCAGTTTCTGGCACGGGGGTTTCAAGGACTTCTCTGACTGTCATCTCTGCTCCATGTTGAGACACACCTGAAAAGGGAGGTTCCTGTATCTTAATTCATTTTCTTGAGCTCCAGGGTGGCTCCGCCAGGACCAGAAGAGGAGCCTGTTTGGAGCGAGGTTGAGCTATGTAGTCCAGTCATGGCTAAGTCAAGTCCTGGGCTGACCAGGAGTCTCCCAGCTGTGACACACAACTCCTGGATGCCAGGACAGGGTGTCCTTGGTTGCCAGGCTTCCCTCCATGCTGTGCCACAGGCAGCCGCTGGGATTGGCCAAACTCTGCTGTTAGCAAAGCGGAGGCCACGTTTTGGAAAAAGGGCTTAAGGGTGAAGCAAACTAGCATCTTAAATTAACAGCTTGCGGTTCAAAATTGCAATTGTACAAAAAGAAAAAAATAATTACCAGTTGCCTTTTATTTTTTATATGTAAAGAACCCACCCTGAAATTCAAACACTAGCCATTACCTGGAGTCCCGACTTCAACCACTGTGTCATTTATTTCTGTGGTGCTGTCCTTGCTACAAAGAAAGAAACAATCATCACAGGCAAAGATCAGTCAAGAGCCATGCCAGCTACAAATCATCATCACTAATTATATATGAATATCTGGAATTACCATAATGCTCTTTGGAATTATACAATATCCAGCTACACTCTTGGAAAGGCTAAGCACACACCAGTATCAAATTGCATGCAGTTTTTAGATAAGCATGCAATACTACCTCTACTGCCCTTGCTTGATACAATCAAACATATTTGAGCTAATTCAGACTCACAATCTTAAATGACAAGGCAGCATTGTAAAAGGTTTCAATTGCATAAATACAAATGGATAAAATAAACAATCTGACACATTTTCTCAGATGTACAGTAGGCCACTGCAGCTGTCTGTATGACGTTGTATGTATGACATTGTTGAACTCGGTAACACATCTGGTATGGGTGGAAATTTCATGTGCTGAGCTGTCAAATATTTTCAAAGAATATTTTTGTAAATCAAAATTTAAAATATTGTCTCATAAGCTTCATGTGGGACAACACATAACTTAGTGTCGTATATTAAAAACCAATAAATGACAACTAGATTGGTAAGAGTTATTTCCAAAAATAAAAAAAATAAATGTTACTTTCAGTACCAGAGAGAGAACACCTTAAAGGAGATATTTACATGAAATGTGAAGTTTTTTGCAATTTAAAAAAAGCACAGAATTTATGCAAATTCTTTAATAAGATGCATCTTAATATATTTCCAGAGTTTTGTAAAAACAATTTACACCATTTTTTTGCATGTGAAACACAACCATGGTCTGGAATAATAGTAATCAGAGAGTTTTTAAACTCTACACTTTATGATGCTGAGTTGTCATTAATCAACAGAACACTAATGAACAAGTAAACTTTAACCTAAATATTGGTAAACAATTTTGATACTTAATTTGGATTTAACTAAAATATGACTCATGATATAATTGAACAAAAGGTCTGTGGTTGCACACTTGCTTCCTGGACATAAATTAGAAGATGATGTTTGTGAAAACCACAAGAAATGATAAGGCAATGTTATGTCATCATGTACTTTAGTGAACTACTCTGTTGTTACACTGCCTTAACTGTAATCTAATGTGATCTGACATCAGAAATTAAGACATTTTGAAATGACTGTTTTCAATGTTATGTGTTACTATTTGCAATAAAAGAAACTGTCAGTTTAGCAATAACATAAATAAAAGGATATCTCCAGTATGTCTATACTGGCAGACCTCACCTGTTGGTCTTTAAACAGCTTTTCTTATTTTTATTGCTGCTTTCTTCCTGTTGCTTCTCTTTGGCTTCTTTGACCTTCTTTTTGTTACAGAAGAGCACATAGTTTACCCCATTATTGTTTGCCCAGAAAGTGCCAACATCTGTTTCGTAACGTATGCAAAACTCAATTCTGGCTCCTTCTTTCTGATATGGTGGCACTAAGGAAATTTTAAAAGAAAATTGATCTGTTTTCCCGTCACTAGAACCAGGGATGTACTCTGCCATTAGATCATAAAAGCTGTTCCAGGCATCTAAAGTCATCCGAACATACACCAGCTTCTGAAAGCACAAATTCAGAACACGGATAATCCCCTTTATTGAGGTGGAACCTGGAAGGAATTCAATGCTTTCCACCTCTACTTTCTGGTCAGAAATTTTTTGCATGAGTTCATATTGTGAGGATGGCAGTGTGAACAAAGCCGACAGGAAATATTCCTCAATGTCTTTGGCTTCTTCCTCCAGGGGATCACTGAATGATGTAATAGGTACATCCCAGGTATCAAACTCTTTAACGGACACAAGATCCAGACCAAATGCATCCGCAAAGGAAACCTTTCTCGCTATCACATTGGGAGGTTCCGGCTCTAAATCGTCTGAGGAGACAGAGCTCTTCCTTCGTGGTAGGGGAGACAGCTTTGGCTTGATTGGGCTCTCATCTTCATCCTCAACCCAGGAATTACCATCGATAACTTCCAAGAAGTTAGAGGCACCAAATTGTCTTGGTTGTCCAGCGGACTCCATTGGGCTGTCTGTAACAAAGTGGAGGGCCACTGTGCTTCTGGCAAGTGACATTTGAGATGCAGTGATTTAACAGAAGGATTTGGGTTACAGTTGACATTGTAAAGAGAGCCAGACCTATTAATAGATCTAACATTCTGTAAGCTATGTCTGTCTGCCCTCCGCAGGCCTTAGGAATAAAACCTTCAATAATTTTTCATTACTGTTGTTATTAGGGTAATGATGTTGAACTGGACAATTGTGTTGGTTACGACCATTACCAAAGAGAACTTCAACTATGGGTGTATGTTTTTATTTAGCTAACCTTTTTGACATCACTGTTGAAATAAAAGTTAATAATTAAGGCTTTATCAAGGGTTTATGTATCTTACAAGTATGAATCATCAATCTAATATTACAAATTGTCAAATGGTCTGATAAATTTTTGTAATATTTTCTTAGTTTCTGGGACAACGTGTATGCACAAAGGAAATATGTAATATATAATGTGAAAGAACACACGCTTGAGTGCAACTAAGGCAGTTATTTCAAAAGGTTCTGTATCGGCTTTAAGGGCTGGTCTTTCAAAAGTGCTATCTAACCACAGTAATTTATTCATTAATCTTGACATTTTAAAAGGGATATTTAGGTATGTTTGGAATTTTGTTGAAAGGAAAATCTTGCACCATTGAGTATTTTGAAATTTCACGAGAGGTTATTATGTCCAACTTATTCTGTTTCGTGACTTCTGTCAATAGAGACAGTCCATTTGTATTGAATCAGATGTCAAACATGCAGGGTATAAAAGTGAACTGCAAATCTCCCTCAGATGTGAACGACTGACTTTACAATAGAGAAAGCTTATGGGAATAAGCAATGGATCTTAAAATGCTTATAAACATTCAGTCACTATTGTAATGTTCTGCATCGCAATGCCTAGAGTCTGATGTACAGCATGAAGAGGAAGAACCATGAACAGAGGAAAACAACATGATGAGTTGACACCGGGCGAGTCCCTCAGCGATCCTTCCGAAACGGTTTCAGATTGTGCTGTTGGAACCCAGATGAAGTCAGCCGAAACCAATGAGAATGGTCACATAAAACCGTCTCTGACCTACATAGCTATGATAGCAAAAGCCATCCTTTCCTCTCCCTCACAGAAGCTTAACCTGTCTTCCATTTACAAAGACATTGAAGACCATTTTCCGTACTACAGGTTCCAGGGCCAAGGCTGGAGAAACAGTGTGCGCCACAACTTATCCCTAAATGACTGCTTTATCAAAGTGGGCAGGTGTGAAGATGGGAAAGGGAACTATTGGGGTATCCACCCAGCCCATCACAATGACTTTCTCCGGGGTGACTTCAGGCAGCATAGAAAAGCAAAGAAGAAAAGGCTACAGAAGGAGCTGCAGAGACCTTATGAGATGAGCTGCTTCACAGGGTCTGGAATCTGCCCTCAGTGCTACTTGCAACAAGCATTCCTCAGCAGAACATACTCCTCTTTTCCTCTTCCAGTCTGGGAACAGAACTGCAGTAATGCTGCTCACAGAAACTGCTGGGAATATCTGCTGTGGAGAACACACACCTGGGAGTTAAAAAAAGCTGAAAGAAGGCATACAGCTCCATTTATCTCAGACAAACCTAGATGTAGCTTCTTGGAGTGCTACCAGAATCCATATCATCTATCAGCGCCTTTCCAAACTATGGCTTACTCACAGGGTATTCCAGAATTGATCCCAGATGGACTATACTCTTTAATGTAGGCTGCCTGTTTTACGCACAAAGAGCTGTGCCTATTACAACAGATAAGAGTACTTCTTTGTAAAAAGGTAACTACAGTACATGGATGCTATGGAGGGTAACTAATCTGAATTACTAATAGATAATTTGACCATAGTAGAAAGACTGTTTCATGAAATCACTTTTATCTTTATCTTTGATCTAGAATTTTTCAGTTTGAGTTTTGTACAAATAACATTTTGAGATTGGTATATACAGTATATATTTTTGTAAATACCAATTGTATATCAATATCATATTTGTCATAAAACAGGTTAGTTTTACAGTATGTACTATAACTCTCTTCATATGTATGATGAAGTGTTCTGTTAGGCTAAGCAGAAATGAATTACTCCTATATAGATTGTTAACAAGCAGACCCAGAAAGACAGTCAGATGACTGAATATAAAGTATTCAGTCAGATGACCGAATATATAGTAATATAGAGCTGGACTCTTTATTTGTTCAGTTCTGAACCAGTACTCTTTCACAAACTTTCGGCAACTCTGCTGTGTCTAAGAACAGGTGTTCCCAACCTTGGTCCTGGGGAAAATCACCCTGCTGTGCTTCATTGCAGCTGAGCTCTTGGTTACATAACAGAATCTGGAATGACAGTTTACAGTTTCTAAACATGTAGGAGGTTGTAGGAGGTTGTAGGAGGCACAAAGTCCACAAAGTTTTGATAAGGTCATCCTATGACATGACATATACTCCACATATACAATTTATTGATCTAATGGGTTAAACGTGAACATAAAGTTATGTGCTACCATGTTATTAATTTGGCCATTTTAGTAAATTAAACTAAGACATAAAATTGTTTTTATTCATATATTTCTTACCTTGTTTTGTGACAGTCATTGTGGTTTGAAATTTTTAATCAATGTTTAAGACTCAGTTTTTAGAATATGAAGAGACCATATTTACTTGTCCTGTTTACTTGCATTTTCATAATTTCATAAGGTAATTTGGATAAACATTTTTTAGCATCACTTTTCATCTTCAAGAAAGATCTGCCTTGAAATTCATAATCTTATCGAACGCTACAGCTTGGTCATTTCAAGCTCATAAGTGGCCTGAATGATGCAATCAATCTTGTCTTGGAGTAGGTTATTTTGAACAGGAAGAAAAAAGCAGTCGCGTTGAAAGATGAAATGATTTGTTATATTTAGATGATGTGCCATTTATAGAACTACCTGTATGTCAAAGACAACTACCATGAAGGGGTCTCTGATCAGCAGCACAACACATGAACAAAAGCCAGTGTGTGTTGTTTAGTCGGCTCATAATCTTACATCCCCTACCCCCTTTTCCTGTAACTGTCTGCCTTCCCAAACTTTTAAACCAATATCCTTGTGTGGTAATCAAGGACACTGCCTTCGAAGATGTTCTTCTTTGGGTGAGATATAACATTAAGGTTCTGACTTGCTCATTATAGATCCAATGACTTCTACAAGCGTACAGGCGCTGGCCCCAGTGACTGGCCAAATTCCACTATGGACTTCTGCAATCTGATCTACCTAAAATTCCCTCTTAAGTACTTTGGAGATTCGTGGGGATGTAAAACACTATACAAATAAAAAGAGTTATTAATATCATTGTAAGACATACGATGGTAACAATGGTTTTCTGCCACACCAGTTCAATGGAAAATTAAAATGAAATTACTGAAGTGATGATTTCTTTCCTTAAATAAGAAATAATAAATTGTAGCAATAGCATACTTTTTTATCATTGCTAACTTTTCCATGGGCATTAAAATCACATAATTTCCACATTGTGGCGAACTGTCTTATAGCTTTTTATTTTTAGAAATCTTTCTCCTGCTCAAGAAGTACAACTCTTCCACAGTATTCATGTGGAATCTGTACAAGCTGGACATTGGCATGCTGTTACAAGTATTTTTCCTGCTGTCTATAGGCATTTCCATCATGAGTTGAAAGCTGATGTATTCCCTTTTCCTTTAACTCCTTCTTAGTGCTATCGTAGGCATGTAACACCACAGGCATTTTCACATATTTTTTAACCGCCAGCAGAAGTAAATTCTTCCGAAGGTATGGAGCTCTTTCAAGACATGCAGAAGCTTGCATTACTGCAGTTATATGTCCTAATTATAGACTATGAACAACATCTATCATTTCTCTAACGGTAATCAATCAATTAAACTGGTATTCAAACATATTACACAACAATGTCAAATAAAAAGTTATATAAATATATTTCACTCAGAACTTTTATGGGCCTTTGTCTAGAAGCTGTTTGACAGGAACTGTTTAAGCAATACTAAACAATAAAACTGTTTATTATTTTTTATGGTTGGACATCTGTAGTAAATGAAGTGTTAAATTCACCCTATTAGATGAGGCTTAGGAAAAAACAGATTTGATCAAAAGTGATGCTCACTTATGAGCGTGCTTGATTCAGATTTAGTGAAGAATTTCTCTGTGATTTGCTTCTGTTTTAACAGATGGCTTGTAGAGAATTAATTGGTTTGGATTCCCTGAGACAAAAAGCTGTGGTTTGTGTGCAAAACACATTTTCACATAGAAAGAATATCTCTTTAGCTCCATCTGCCTGTAGAAAAAAGAATCTCTGTATATGTGACGTTAGCAAGAAGAATACATGCTCTTTGTTTCAGTTCACAGCTCCACTTACCTCTCCAAATCATGAGCTTGTTTGCTTTTGATGAAATGGAGTATTGTCATCATATTATATAGAGTGCAAAAGCAAGAGGGTCTTTGTTTTTTATCTGCTGCTGACTTAGAAAATATTTAAGCATTAAGCAGGAACAACAACTGCTCACCGGTCTTCATAATGTTTTAAGAATCTACAATCTCATTGTAGAACTGAATCATCAAGTGTCAATGCATTAAACACCTCTGAATTCTATTATTGTGGAAGGAAACTGTTAATAAAAAAACCTTTAAAGGAAAACAGACGCACTTCATCTGTGGTTTCGCAAAAGTAATTCATATCAATTCTTGCTATATTAATTAATTTTTCTAAACCCTGAATTTTTTTGGAATTTTAGTTTACTGTACATTTTGACTTCTATGCATAAATAAACCATTATTTTTTAAAACCTTAAAATAATTTAGATGTATTTGACAGCACCAGAAGATGGCACCATACAGCCAGCTATGAAGACCTCATTTTTAATACTATTCCCAAGTGAAAACAAATGTATCATCATATCTGCTACATTAATGTAACTGTTACATTATGCAATAAAAAAATAATACGTTTGTATAGGTGTAAGTACACTATCAAATTTTGACAGAATATGTTAATTCTTTAAAAATTAGTTCCAAATCATAGCAAAATCCT